AGACTCAAAAATCTCTGACACACGCTCACCCCTCTGTTGACAAATCTATGATAAAAACAACAGAAAACAAAAATGGATGACATGAAAAGACAGCGCTGAGCCTAAAATAACATTGACAGAGATTTGGGGTTTGTAAAAGAGTGCTTGGTTGTTCTACAATCGACTGAAACCAAACGAGTAGTTTGGGGGGGAAAAAAGGCACAGCACACCACCATCAAAATGTAATCCCAACTGTCTCCATCAGGATCACAGGGGGGCGTGCATCGATGTTCTCGAACGAAAAATAAATTACCAAATTCATCAAGACATTTTGAAAGGCAACTAACCAATTGCATTATGAGTTCACAAGACAACGAACGACACAGGGAATAGGAAAGTAAACAAAAGAATGGCTTCAAGTGAAGAAGAAAAACCTTCGAGAGCGGCCCAAGTCAAAATCTTGACCTCAACCCAATTGAGGTGTTGTAATTAATATTCGTAGTAAAATTCACTTTCACTTGGATCTAATGAAGACTCTTGTTGAGTATTTTATACTGAATTCCCTGCCAGATGCCTGCAGAAGGGCAAATAGTCTTTCGATTATTTCTGAGATCTGAGGTCTCACACATACAGCTTGTTTGTGTTTTCACTGACCCTAGTCCGTCTTGACTCACCTTTAAGATCATCCTGGGATTAGTTCACCCACCCAGTATCCATATTTAGCTCTAGAAGAGTCATCTAGCTTTGTCAGACGCGGGATTAAACATTATTGGCAGGAAACTGTATGAAAGAAGGGAGGGAATGGAGCGGGACTGGGAGCAAGAGATGGGCGGGGAAACAATGCTGGGAGGGAGGCAGCGTGGGATATCCTTTGTGAATCATGGAAAGTGATCCAAGGAGCACACACAGGCTCACAGACTCCTCTCTGTGTCTTGACATTCAGCCCAAAGACACTGGGTGGACATTCATCAGCCTTTGGAAACACTTACTCAATACTTCTTTGAAGGAATATCAGGATGGACACTCACTTGTTCTGTTTTCACCACTTCCGGCCCTATCGCCTAATAGATTAAAAAAAACAAAAAAACACACACCTAAACACTTCACTCATGTCTCAAAATAAAACTGACGTCATGCTCGAGCCCTGTCACTCACAATGTCCAACTTGTGGAAGCACTCCGGAACGAATGAATTTTTCTCAGTAAAGTTCCTATACTGGACAAGCATGTTCTCTTGTTTCAGCTTCAAATTTAATGCACGGTTATGAGTCAGTTGCATTATCAATTTGTACAGTAAAATAATGGATTTTTAAAGTTTATGTATGCATTCTGGGTTACAACATGGTTGGGCAAAATGAATGTGAAAGGCCACTTCTTACAAAATAAATGGTACACGATGGACTCTATTATGGTAGACAGTGCGTCTGCTGTGAAGTGCAAATGCGGGCGGCTCCTATTAAATAAATAAATAAATAAATAAATTATCAGTGCAAGGGTTACTGCACGTGCTGCCAATTTGGCAGTGCGCTCTCTGGAAAGCTGAGTAGGCCTGCGCAGCAGAAGGAGTTTCTTGGAGATGTGCCTCCATAATAGGGTGACAGAAAATCAATCTGAAGTCTAAACTTCGCCAAACCCGATGCAGGGTAGATAGCTGGTCTATCCATCCATCCATTCATCCATCCATCCATCCATCCATTTTCTAATTCGCTTATTCGGACCAGGTTCGCGGGCATGTTGGAGCCTATCCCAGCTGACTTCGGGCAGTCGGCAGGGTACACCCTAAACTGGTTGCTAGCCAATCGCAGGGCACACATAGACAAACAACCATTCATGCTCACAATCACATCGAGGGACAATTTAGAATGTTCCATTAACCTGACATGTATGTTTTTGAAATGTAGGAGGAAATCGTCGTACTTGGAGAAAGCCCACGGGGCATGGGGACAACACACGCAAACTCCACAGAGGAAGGCTTGAATCGAACCCTGCAGCACTGCACTGTGAGGCCGATGTGGTCACCAGTCCACAGCTGGTCTAATGCAAGGTATATAAATTATAAATATGTGAATAGCGGCGATCGAACCCTCTGAATCATTGTATTATATTTTTTAAAGCGCATCGTCGAGACACTAGTGCATGGCTAGCACATGACATTTAAAGGGAATCAAAGAAGACGCTTTCAGTGGCCAAAATTTAATCACCTGTGACCACTCCCACAGTGGTGCATCCCTCCCTGTCTTGGATCCACTGGCCTGCACTCATCTGTGAAATGACCAAAATCGGGTCGAACTAAGTTGTCTCACATCATAGAGTCCGATAGCTTACTTTATCCAGCTATCTGTTTTCTGTACCGTCCTCATTAGGCATTACAGGGTATATCAGGTGCGGGCAAATAATTTTGCAAAAGGGCCACATAAAAAACTGGAATACTGGCTGAGGGCCAAGCCAACATGCTAACCTCAGCTTGTCTATATTTTAATGTATTATTATTTTATTTTGCGTTCATGTAAGTAGAGTGTGTCCCATCCATCTTGCCTAGAGGCAGGGTACAGCCTGGACTGGTCATCAGTTAATCAAAGCCAGAAAGGATTTTCAAGTAAACTACAATTCACTCTCAAAATGACAACTATGGGCAATTTAGACTCAATTTCAGTCACGTGCGTTTTTGCTCCACGCAAAAAATGCCCAAGCCAAGATTCAAACTCAGATCTTTTTGACTGTTAGGAAGACGCACTAAGGATATGCGTCTCTGTTCTGAGTTAAAAAACAATTTTTTTTCCCGTAGCGTTGAGTTTGTGCACGATCAGCAGTGTACAGAGATTTGATATTGAACGAGCACGAAAGGCAGAATGCTAAAGTAAAACAAGATGACTCCCCCAAAAAGATTTTTCAATGGATGAACAAATCTGCAGATGAACATAATACGAGGTAAAGTATCTGTGAAAGATTATTTTGCTGTTGGGGTGAAGTGCTAGGCCAAAGACTTTCTCAAGATATTGTGGTGAGAACACTGATAGGAGGGAATACTGGAAAATGTCTACGAGAATGTGAACATCATATTGTATTCAGCATGTACTCATTTCCTCCATTTAGTTATAAGTATTTCACATCAACGTATATCCTCAATGACAAACGTAGTTTCTGAGTTTTTCGTCAATCTGAGCCGATTGAAGGTGTCCACCACATTACGAACCGGCACAAGGGCAGAGCAAAAGGGGGTTCATAGAGTGGCAGTGTTCTGGCTCAATCATGCTTGCGACAAAATGAAGCCACGTGACAAATAATTTGTTATCAGCAGTTTGAGAGTTGCTACAGTCTGGGAACGCTGCACAGTCACGTCCTCTGCCAGGAATGTGAAAAATAGGTCCTTGCTCTGCTTTAGTCAGGGGCCCAAGCAGCACTGTTCACTCCTTCTTACCTCTGCCATATAAAACACTCTGTGGAAAGACTCATGATTGGACGTTTTTTAACTCTTTACTGCTAACTCATTTCATCTAGCTAGAACAATAGGATGACTGAAATATTGCCTGTTTAAAGCTTCCAGTGGGAATGTGCCTTGACTGGGGAAGAAATCAGTTTTCACACAACAGATCTTAAAACCAAATGAACATAACAAACTCAATTCGGACATCGCTGTCAGAAAGGTTTAAATGATCACCTAAACACATGCGTCGCACCACTTCTTCGCTTCTATGTTGTGTCTCAGGCATTTACGTAGGTCAGATTGTACACATGGACCACATCAACAAAGACCTGTCACAGACTTGGAGGAGTTGAGCCCAAGTTAATGCTTTTGTGACAATGTTTCGATAATGCTAACGAATAGCTAACGCAAGGGTACAAGCATGTTTTCAGTGGCAGATAAACCACCGCTACTAAACTTTTTCAAAATGATTCCTCCAAGAATGCATATATGTCATAAATTAACTGCAGAAACAACCAGCCATCTGTCCAGCCATCCATTGTCTTCTGCTAATCCTGGGGAAGTGTTGGGGGGTGGGGGT